GACAAGAACCAGTTCAGAAACCAGTTCAAATGGAAAAGGTAGAAAGCAGCTAGGTCATGTAGGGAGGTTGGGTTTTTAACAAAGCAATGCAGCCACAAGAGATCTTATTAAGCCTGTAAATCCAGCTGGATGCCCCCAGAAACAGTGCTCAGCAGCAGCTTCTGTGCTCACAGGGGTGAACAGCAGAGATGGGAAGGGTCGCCAGCCTGGGAACCAGGCAGAAACCCCCAGGGTAGCCGTTGACCACTGTGGATTGCCTTTACACGAGGACAACAACCATGCTGGCAAATCCTCGGGACTAGTGTTGGCTGCTGGGGATGGTCCCTGGCCCTGCAAGAGCTGTGAAGGGGCAAGAACAGGGCCAGGCACAGCTCTGCAGACCTTCCTTATCCTGCAGACACTGCACACATCCGAAGCAGCAGCCCGTGCCATCAGCATCAAATCTGAAGCCAGCTCGTGTCTGGGAAAATCATGAACTTACAAAAGGGGAAAATAATAAACTTTTAAAAAAACCCCAACCCCTCAGAAATAGCATTGTCTGCCTGTGTCCTAACCCTCAGGAACCATGGGTTGAGAGATCAAACCTGATTCCTCAAGGGACCGATATCACCATTTGGTATCAATTTTCCATCTGACTGCTCCTTTTTAGGAATTGTTTCTCTTGCTCCAGAAAACGAGCGCTCCCAGGGAGCCACCGAGCGCAGGGAGCCCTGGCTGTGTGCCGGCGGCTCGTCACCGCCCCGAGCCCCACGGCCCCGGATTGCAGCGGGTCCTCCCCGCCAGGCACCACCCCTCACGGATGCACACCGCGATGGGAAGGCGAAACACAGACTCAGTATGTGGCCGTGGTCTGGTTTGCCCCAACAGAGCCAAGGTTTGGCACATGAACCGCCACGGGAAGGTGATGGCAGAGCGACCTGGGGAGCCCCGTGCCCACAGCAGCAAGGATGGAGCATCCCCAAAAGAGCATCCTCAAAGCTCTGTGTGATGGGCTACAGCTGTGGCTCTCACTGCCAGGACACAGTGGCACCTCGGTAAAGGAGCTGCTCAAAGCAGGGCATACGTTATATTTTTTCCTTCCCTTTTTGAAGGGCAGAAGAATTTCTGGGTGGAGGAGCTCATGAACGCACAGACTTTTTCCCAGAAATGGTCCAGCCCTGATACTAGTGACTAGCAAGGCAATAAAACTAAGCCCCTGTGTCCTCATGAGCAGGAGGTAGAAGGACATTTAGTCACACTCTTTAAATGAGGCATTGAACACCATAAAGTTTAACGCCAACATCCAACACACACTTGGGAGCAGAGACTTCTCTGCCAAAGCCCAGCAGCCCTCATTCGCTTTCTGCAACGATGATAACACGCTCGACATGGGTCTCAACACATTTGCACGTGTGGAGGGTGTACCCACGGCACGGCTTGTGCCAGGGGTGATGCCAGGGTCGCCCAGCCCCTCCGCCGTGCTGCAAGGGAAGGGATGCAGGCCGATATCTCTGCAGCACGGGGCACCTCTGGGGCAGGCTGGGTGGCAGCCAAGGCGGCAGCCGGCTGTGCAGAGCCTTGTGCTGGCCAAGCACCGAGGGCCAGGGCTGCCGGGCACCTCTCGTGCCAGCACTGCGGCGCGGAGCAGAAAAACAGTTTCTGCTCGCTGTCAGGCTGAGAAAGGGCTTAAACCCGAGCAGACCCCTGGGCACACCCTAAAGAGGGGGGATCCAGGATGAATCCCCAGCTCGCACATAGGAGGGATGCTGGTTGAAGCTGCACATACCCGTCCAGGACCTGAGTCCTGCACCACAATGCGACACAGCAGAGATCCCTGCCCAAGATAGGAATAAACCCAAGCAGCACAGGAGCTTGGGCAATCCCCACAGTACCCAGGCATGGGCAGGCCACGCAGGCTGTCCTCCAAAATCACGTGAGCTTCTTGTTCTTCCAGCTATTTCCTCCCAAAGAGGTTAATTGCGGCCAAATTCAAGAGAAACCAAGTGTCACAATTCACTTCATCTCCTCCTGGTACTTCTTGCCTGGCCTTTAGGCCACACTATGGCCTCACACAGATGGCTGCATGCACATAAAGCTCAGTCCCCTATAGCTGCCAGGGAGAAAAATGCTTCCCTGTCAAACACCATGATACCACCCCTGTAACTACACCAACATCAGCTACATGTTGGTTTCTTGTTTTGGTTTGTGGTTTTTTTTTGTTTTGTTTTCTTTATTTGTTTGCTTGTCTTATGTGTTTTGTTTGGGGATTTTCAAGCAATAAGAGTCACAGCTCTGCCCCAGGAGACATGCCTGCCCATGACCTCTGCAGCAGCAACCTCACTCACCACTTTGCGTCGCTGAAGGATTTTGTCATTGCCGTAAAAGTCCTGCACGTAGGGGACTGGAACCACAGCTTGTGCGTGCTCAGGAGCAAAGCTGGTTGTGATGAGAACTGGAGCAGCTACACATCAGAGCAGAGGAAAGGCTTGCTAAATCTCAAACTACAGGCTCAAACCAGAGCCTCTTCTGCCTGCCAGGGTTTTAACCCAGCACAACCAGTGATGGGCACCTGGGAGCACTGGAACACAGGTGAAGGGGATAACACAGAGGCTGCTCATGGTGCAGGAGGGTCTGAGCTGGATCTGAGCCCCCTCCCCAGCCCTGCAGCCCCAGAGGGTGGCTGGGCTGAGGTTACTTCAAGGAAGGTGGGATACGGCTGGAGAAAGGGAATGGGAACAGCTCCTGTGCTGCATTTATACCATGTTTACACAAGCACCCTAACCCCAGTGCAAATGGGGAGGGCTGTGTTATCTCTGGTCTGTCTTCCAGAGGATCTGGTGGAGGCTCTGTCACACATAAATGGGGGAAAATAAAGTAGACACCAAGCCCTGAAAGTACGCCCCCATCCTTTCTGATCCCCCCACCTGCACTGCTGCCCAGCTGGGGACACTCAGTGATAAAGCACCTCATGGATGGAGATGACCGGGTCATCTTCCATGGCCACACCGGGCTGGGTGAAAGGAGGCTTCCAAAGTTCTGCATGGTAAAATGAGGTGGTTGTGGTAATTACTGAACCTGTGGAGGCCAATTAAAACCCTTGGGAGAACATAAATGACTCTAACGTGTCTTGGCATGGGGGTGAAGGAGATGGTGGTATGCTGGCTCTGCTGCAGCAAAGGAGTGTGTTGCACCAGGGGTGCTGGCTGTGCCTTGGTGTTTGGGCTGTCACAGCCCTGAGTGCCATGTACAACAGCGAAGGGAATTGGCAAGGGAGAATGAGTCAGGGCCAGGAAAGGACTTGGGGTTATGAGAAGCGTTTTAAAATGAATTGGAAACTTCACAGGCAGGCACCAAGGTGACTGAAGCGCAGGAGAAATATAATCGGAGCGCTCTGAGCTGATAAATAACCACATTGCAGCGTGGCCGACCAGCTGTGGCCGCAGCCGGTGCACAGGGAGGGGGGACGAGCGCCAAGGAGCTCTGCTGATCAATCCAGCTTGGCAGGGGTGTAAACCAGGCAAGCGGGGGCCACAGGGGATGGAAAATGGGCTAATAGCCTGCTGGGCCTTCTGTGCTGGTCCCAGCTCTCGTCAGCGGGCGGGGACCTGGGCGCTCTCCATCCCTGCCTCAGTTTCCCCATCTTCAGGTGGGCGCCCGGAGCGGGGTTTGCCAAGCGCCCTGAGGTCGATGCATGGATTCTATGGGCACGGTGAGTCCGCCCGCCCCGGGGAACGCTGCTGGCCTTGCTGCGTGTCCCCCCACACCCCGGTTTGGTGGCATGAGGGGACACAGGGACGGCACCGCCCCCACCCCCCCCGTGTCTGTGTGTCCGCGTCCCCCCCCCACCCCCCCCGCACAGAGCCCGGAGCCTCCGCGGCCCCACAGCGCCCCCTGGCGGCCGCTCCGCAGCGCTGCACCCCCCCAGCACCCCCCCAAAACAAACCCGTACTGTAACAGGCATACCTGTACTGAAAATAAGAGGTTTTGCAGCACATTTTTCTGCAAAGACAAATAACACCACCCCCCCACACCCCCAGATTGCACCAGGACCAATATTCCAGTGTTTTATTTGTTTTCACCTATACAACAGCAATTAGCACCGGTTTATCATTAAATTAAAGCCTCAAGCAGGTGGGGCTGAGGGTAGTTATCTTTGATCCAGTTTTCATTGATGTAGTTAGCTTTGCCCCATGCTTCTGGGTGTTACTGGTGTGAGCTGAAGCATCCTGTGCCTCCCCTGAGACCGTGCCCCTGCCTTCCTCCCATTTTCGGTTGCCGCTCGCTGAGGCCGGAGGCTGTGAACCACTGTCTGCAGGTGGCTAAGTTTGGTTTCAAGGCCAGAGAGAGTTTACAGCTGTAGTTTAAGCATCACTCTCAGTGAGGACTCATGCCACAGAAATAATTCAGTACAGGCCACAAGAAAGGATTTGGCTAGTCCCAATCTACCTGCAAAACACACTTTGGGCATCTGGGCAAGTTCAGCCTGTGGACCAAGTTTGGGGTAGCTGCTACCCTTCCTCTTCTTGACCTGGGCTGCATCGCAGCTGCTCCTGTGACAAGACAGCCTAAACCCACCTGCAGGACTGGGGATGTAGGAGCTGCTGGTGTCAGTTTTAGCTCCTGTGCTCTTCCTGCCTAGCAAGAGGGACAGAGGTGTAAGAGGAACTTAAACCTTGCCTCACTAGAAGGTCACAGGGCTGTCCTAAACAACTGCAACAGCTTCCAGACCACAACAGTATCCACACCACGCACAGTGCAACAAGTTCTCTGGTTAAAGAGAGACCAGAGATTTCCCCCAACTCTGCTTTGTCCTTGCCAGAGGCACCAGCACTGGCCCCTGTGGTTTTCCCAAGGGCTATCCCGGCTCCTGGTTGGAAGCAGGGAAGGCAGGTGAGGTAGCCAACTCCTGATTGGTAGCTAGCCAAGACTATCTCTGGGCCTTGGGCTTCCTTCCTACTAAAGAGTGACCCCAGCCCACCTACCCCTAGTTAACATCCAGCCCCAGATCCCCCAAGACATCATTTCAGAAATCCGCAATATTTTAATCAAAACCTACTAAGGCCATCAATAACTTTCATGATTGCACATAGCTTCCTCCATCTTAAAAGCACAAGTATCTTCGTTAAATACCCAAGGACAGGGTCCAGCTCCTGCCTTCCCCCTCCCCTCGTGCAGGCAGGACGGGCAGAGCGACGCGATGGCCTCCCAGCATCCATGGTGTGTGGCCGGAAGAGCTGACCCTGGACGGCTGAGCAGGCAGCAGGGACAACTGTCGAGCCGAGTGACAAGTCAGATGTACCACCGAGTTTTTTGGCAAGGCTCATCTCATGCAGTCACCTAAAGCAAGAAGAAGCTAAGTAAAAGGGTTGTGGGCTGGGATCACTGGAGCACAAGGTCATGGCACAGAAATTGGGGTTTTAAAAGACACCACTGTACTCTCCAACACATGCAAAGGCTGGAGCAACCCCGGGCAGGCTTCAGGTACCCTGGGAAGAGACATCACTGAAGACAGCAACCAGAATTGATTTGCGGTGTAGTCCAGTCACATCAAGTGGCAATAAAACCATAAGTGGCTTCAGGATAGCATGAGATGAACGGTGGCTTTTAAAAAGATCACTAAATCCCATCAGTGCTACATATACAAACCTCATTTATTTTAAAGGCTCCTATTAAAGTGCCTTATATTCCTAGCAATAGGCAGTTTTAAATTGCAAAATAACTTCTTGGATCAACCAGTGACCATCTTCATTCCTACTGGCCCACAGGGAGAGGGGCTGTGGCAAAGGCCAGCTCCTTGGGAACAACACTGTATTTTGGGTGTCCGGATGAGGTCTCCCATGCCCCAGCACGGGAATGCTGGTGCAGCATTACTGTTCCGTGGCTTTGCCGTGGTGCGCAGGGTCTCTGCTGAGCTGCCCAGAACAACTTCACCTTCCAGAGACCTCTGGAGATCCAAAGCAGGTCTCACCCCCAGCACAGACGCGTGCCGGGGCCAGCGGCTCAGGCTTCAGCATCGTCCTGGCTCAGCGTGGCAGCGTCGTGTAGGAGCGGCGTTGTCTCGGAGGAGGGGGGCAGTTTGCTCTGCGTGGTGGGGTAGCACAGGCTCTTCTCAGCAGTGGTTCTCTGGAGAGGAGAGGACAGCAGTTACAGCCACACACTCGGCAGTGGCACCGTGCTCAGACCTGACCGTATGCAGGTGCCACCACATCCCCACTTGGGATATGCACGCCCCAAACCTCTTGGACTTTCATGGGGCCAAGAACCCTTTTCTGAAGGCTTCTTAATTTGAAGATTTTTGCATCTCCTCCCCTATCAAAACAAAGTTATTTCCATCCCTGCCCAGTGACACCTCTAACACCCCCGTACACCCAGCCTGAAGAGCTGTGTCATCAAGTGGAAAAGCTATACGGCAAAGTCAGCATGCTGCACAGCATCAGAGAAGATGAAAGGGAGATGGACAGGGTCTTCTCAGAGACACAACAGCTTGAAGACCCCCATATCCCAGCCGCAGTAGAGACACAGACAGCACCCATACCTAGTGTAATGGGAAGTGCAACCTCTGGGGAAGGTGAAGGATGGAAGCTGGTGCCTTCTGGCACCACGAGGAAGGCTCCTGCTCCACCTAAAGGTTTACAACCACAAAATAGGTTCACCACCCTCAAAGTTGAAGAGGAGCCAGATACGCTTTCAAGCAGATCACGTGGGCTCCCTGACCCTAAATCATACAAGACCCCCAGGAGGAAACAGCAAGTGACATTAGTGGGTCACTCCCTGCTGCTGGGGACAGAGGTACCCATCTGCGCACCTGGCTGGTCATCTAGAGACATTTGCTGCTTGCTGGGGACCTGGATTCGGGGTGTTGTGGAAGGGCTGTGAGGCTTACCCAACCCTCTGCCTATTACCCAATACTTCTGTGTGGGCACCAACGATACTGCCAGGGCCACACGTTAATTATCAAAACTGACTACAGCACTCAGGTGGGAGGAGATAGTCAGGGCAAAAAAGCTGATTGATATTCAAGGATCACCTCCTCCAAGCTCAAGATTGGTCCATCCCAACGAGCATCCTGAGTCACAGAAAACTGCCAGCAGGCCTACGTGGGTGAACAAGGAGTTCCTGGCCAAACTCAAATGCAAAAAAGGAAGCATTACAGAAGGTGGAAGCAGGTAACCTGGCAGGAAGAGAGGAACGCCCTCCCAGCATGCAAAGATGAAGTTAGGAAAGCCAAAACCCAGCTGGAATCGAATCTGGCCAAGGATGTCAGAGATAAGAAGAAGGGTTTCTATAAGTACACAGGTGACAAAAGGAAGACTAGGGAACATGCAGGCCTGTCGTTGAAGGAGGCAGAGGACCCCACAGACCAGAGGAAAGTCTGGAGCAAGGAAGACATACCCTTGGTGGAAGAAGATGAGATCAGAAAATATTTAAGCAACCTAGACATACATAAATCCATGGGCCCTAATGAGATGCACCCACAAGTGCTGAGGAGCTGGCTAGTATCACAGCAAGGCCACTCCTCATAATCTTTGAACAATTCTGGCAATCAGGAGAGGTGCCCAAAGCCTGGAGGAAAGCAAGCATCACTTCTATCTTGAAGTTCAAGAAGGAAGACCTGGGGAACTACAGGCCAGTCAGCCTCCCTTCAGTCATTGGGAAGGTGATGGAGCAGCTAATCCTAGGAATCATTTCCAGGCACATGAAGGACGAGAAAGTCATCAGCAGTAGTCAGCATGGCTTCACCAATGGGAAATCATGCTTGACCAAGCTGATAAACTTCTGTGATGAAATGAGTGGCTTGGCAGATGAGAGAAGAGCAGTGGATATTGTCTACCTGGACTTCAGTAAGGCCTCCAACACCGTCTCCCGTAAGAATCTTGTAGAGAAGCTATGAAGTATGGGCTGGATAAGTAGTGAAGTGAACTGAAAACTAGCTGAACAGTCAAGCCCAGCAAGTCATAGGAAGCAGCATGAATTCTAGTTGGAGGTCAGTAACTAGCAGTGTACATCAGGGGTCAATACTGGGTCCAATCCTGTTTAACATCTTTATTAATGATCTGCAAGTTTGCTGATGACATGGAACGGGGAGAAATGGCTGATACACCAGAGAGACGTGATATCCTCCAGAGTGACCTCAACAGGCTGGAGAAAGGGGCTGACATGAACCTCATGAGGTTCAACAAGAGTATGTGTGGTCTTGCACCTGGGGAAGAACAACCCCATGTGCCAGCATATGCTAAGAGTCATCCAAATCTTAAGCGGCTTGGCAGAAAAGGACCTGATGGTCTTGGTGGATGCCAAGTTGAACATGAGCAAGCAGTGTGCCCATGTAGCAAAGGCAGCTAACTGTGTCCTGGGCTGCACAATGAGCATTGCCAGCTGGTCAAGGGAGGTGATCCTTCCCCTCTACTCATCACTGGTGAGGCCACTGATGGAGTACTGTGTCCAGTTCTGGGCTTCCCAGGACAAGAGAGATGGAGCTGCTGGAGACAATCCAGCACAGGGCCACTAAAATGATTAAGGGACTGGAGCATCTCTTATATGCACAAAGGCCAACAGAGCTGGGACTGTTTAGCCTGGAGAAGAGAAGGCTCAGGGAGATTTTACCAACATATACAAGTATCTGAAGGGAGGATGTAACTACAGAGCCAGGCTCTTCTCAGTGGTGTCCAGGGGACAGGACAAAAGTCATCAAGCACAAACTTAAACACAGGAGGTTCCATCTGAACATTAAGAAACACTTGTTTGTTTGTTTGTTTTTTTAAACTGTGAAAACTGTAAAAACTGGAACAGGTTGCCCAGAAAGGTTGGGGAATCTCCATCCTTGGAGATATTAAGAGACATCTGGACATGGTCCCAAGCAACCGGCTCTAGGTGACCCTGCTTGAGCAGGGGAGATGGACTAGATGACCTCCAGAGGTCCTTTCCAACCTCAACGATTCAGTGATTTTGTGATCCTGTAATACAAATCCAGATATTTTATACATCAGAAATTCCCTCTTGAAAGCCTTTTTATCGAGGCTCCCTGCATGCAGGAGGGGAGTGACACCCATCATTTGACTACCTCTGTTACCCCCATGAGTTTTTACCCATTCAAAAACTTACCTTTGGATCTCAAACACTTGGAGGGGGTGAAATAGTCAAGAAAAGTGTTTCCTCACACCAATCCTACTTTTCACCCTGATCCTTACTGATACTATTAGGGCTGCAGGTCATGTACACCAGGAGAAACAATAAGAGCACGTGCTTGCAGCCTGGTTAAGTGTGAGTATTAAGGTATCTAAATTGCCCTGAATAAAGCCATGGGACAACATCATGATATCAAAGCTCGCCAGGAGGGCATGTCTGCTAGATGTGGACAGAAAACATTTCTGTTTGATTGGTTTTAAGCAAAGTTTAATCAAATCAGGATGAGAGGAAAGTGTGTTACCTTGACTGGGTACCCACCTACAGTCTGGCTTCCTGCAACACCATCCCCTTAACCGGAGGCAGCTTTTCAGCAGAGGTGGCCTGGTTAGCCTCATTACTGTTTGAGTTCTTTTTATTGCTGCTCCAAAATAAAGAGCATTTTTCCTAGAAGACAATCAGGCTAGTTTACGGTGCACTTGGACATGAATTCCACAAGGGTTCCAATTTTAGGAGGCTATTTTAAATCACTGTTTAACTAGAATCTAGTTATTAATAAAGATTTCAAAATTTAGGTTAAACTGAGTCCTATTTAAGATTTTGGTAAGTGTCAAGCCAGTTTTAAAATGGTCTGTTTGCCTTTTAAATGCATCACCACACAGGCTTTAGGCTATGTTAGCAGAGGAGAGTTGCAGTGCTGCATTTGGGCATGTTTTACACCTGTACAATTTACACATTTTTTAGAACTGCCAGTCCAACAGATGCATTTCAAACTGGCTCCACTGTAGGTGAGGCTAAGATTTAAGTGTTTCACAGTACCTCATCTGGACTGGGTTTAGAGCACACTGCTCCCTCCAGAAGCCAGAGGCATACAAGATACTCCAGGAAGGAGTTTGGTTCAGGGAGGCCTTCACGCTGGCAGACACGTGAAGGTGCGGTCAATGCCCCCTCTGACATCTCCTGTGACTTCAAGAGAGAGGACTGTGCATGATTAAGCAATCATTGCCAGATCAGCAACACTTCAATCAAATGAGGAACACACCTTGGCTGCAAATTGCTGTCTTCCAGCTCTTATCTATTCATTAGGCAGATTTTCATGTGTTGTTGCACAGGTCTCTTAGAGATTTATAAGGTCATTGAGGCTTTTTAATCACTTTCCAGGTAGTCAGACACTTCCTGCAGTTGATTTTTAGTTCTAGCACTTCATGACACTTTTCACTGAGCGCCCAAATACAGCTGGCTTATGCCTGGGTTTGGAATATTTCACAAGCAGATATTCAGTTGACTTGAGTGAATTTAAAATCCAGCCTTTCTTCCTAACCCTTTCTAGCACGGTTAAGGCTCTTTGATACAAGGGATTAAAACTTGCACAAAGCAGGGTGAGGAAATGCCAGCCCAGGGCTGTATAAGGTCTTAGAAATAGCTGCCCAGCAAATATAGACATTTTTCAGATATGCTGGTGCTATGCACCAGCGTGAAGTCTGTTTGCCAGCAATCACCTGCATTTGCTGAAGCAGAGAGGTTGAGCACCCAAAGCCTGACCATCTTGGGAGCACAGTAAGGGTTTAACACTGAGCCCTTGGCCCTAGCATCGCTCCCACCCTGCAAGGAAGCGCATGGAGGAACAAGGGGATTTGGGATCATGGGTTTAAGTCAATTAAGCAGTTGTAGGCTTGGTTAAAATCCAATTACGTGATACTCTGAGAACCCTGGCACTATTTAAAGTGGGTTTGCATTAGCATTTCAGTAAGGGCAATTACAGGAGGTTGAGGAAAAGCAGCCCCTCGCACGTGTTCACCCCTTAGCCCACTCTCATCCTAGGCATTGCCTTTTTATCCCAAGTAGCCTCTTCACTTCTGTAGCTTTAGAGCCAGCTCAAGCCGTCTGACTGTAGTGCTAAACTAAATAAGCTTGCTCTGATACAGGTTAGGATAGGGAGCTAGATCTCTACTTGCAAGAGCTAAAGCTTTTACAGAGCTAAGTATTATCAGATTAATGTTTTGGAGCCGGAGGCACGGATCTCCACCAAGTGTTTTAGCTGGTTTATGTTCTGTCCTTACAGCTCAGACTCATGTGCCAGCCAGGCACCTCCACTGCCCACCCCATCATGAGCCAACTTCTACGCAGCTGCCAGGTCCCTGGAGGCTTCAAAGGTCTTCCTTCGCTTCTCAGTCAGCCCAGATCCACAAAGGCCCTGAGGGTTTAACTTCCAGAGCTATTTGGAATAGTTTGCAGACAAAGCGAGTGAGTTTCAGGGAGAGTCCAGTCTGGGTTGAAAACCGGTCACGGTGTCTATGCCCCTTCTGCAAGAACACAGCGACTGCATTTTGTTTGTGAACAAGCTGTGCAAGTAGCTCCCTCTCCTTGAGAAGGCTCTGTTCAGATTAGAAAACTGTTGGGACCCTGCAGAGATGCACAGATTTGTGCAACGGCACAGACTTGTTGCTTTCTACGGAGGCTAGGTGGATGAGCTAGGCTTGTTCTTTTATTAGCTGGATGAGCTGAGAAATATCTCCTCCTACAGGAACCCACTTTCATTGATGTTGTGTGAGAAATGCTTTTATGTTATCTATTTGCAACCCAATTTCTAGATGGCCGAAGAAGTCCCACTGCTATGTGTTGGCACCTGGCACCATTAGGACATTATTCATGGCATCAGCCAATGTTTCCTCAGGAGTGTTAGATTGTCAGCCCAATCTACATCATCTGATTAAGTCTGATTTGATTAAAATAATTTTCCACTAGACATCTGCAAGTTCTTACCTGACTTGTTGCCATGAGTACAGCTGCTGAGATAATGAGTGGGACACTCAGTCCAAGGAAGATATACTGCAGGTAATCCAGCAGGGATGGGATCAGCACCAGGTTGGTGTAAAACTGCTTTAGGACTGAGCCTTCGATGGATCCACTCTGCTCAAAAAAGCAAAGTTGTCAGTGGCATTTCCCTCCCATCCAGGGCTGAGGCAGACCAGCTGCACAACTCCTCTCCCACCACTGATTAGGGAATTTATGCAAGATTGAGTCAGGCCAGAAGTTTTTACTAAGTAGTTGGAGTCAGCTGGATATGCACACAGCTGGAGACTGCACTCCCTGGCCCACATTAGCATGGAGATGCTGGCAGCTCTGTTCTGGGCCCTATTTAACCCCACATCTAGGACAGAGCCAGAGGTTTGCCAAGTATAGTGCAGGGTTTGTTCAGCTCAGGGGGATTAATGATGTAGCCAAGTATTGCAAAGCCTTCTGTTGGTGCTTAGTTAGTCTGTCTGGATTAAAGATTTATCCAAAGTGGAGTTTTCCCCCTCCTGCAGGAGAGGCTCTGCAGAATCAGGCTGAAGAAGGCAGCTCACCTCTGCAAACCACAGCAGCGGCAGGACCACTGGCTTAATCTTCCCTGTTTGACTAGGGAAGAAAAAAAAAAAAAAAAAAAAATACACACTTAGATTTCTGGTTGATCAGATCACAATTATTGCTATAATTCTTCCTAAAGGGATGGGTCTGACAGACTGATGGTGGCCAGGAAACCTGTGTAAGGAGGTAGCAATTCCTGCTGCTTCGGTGAGCTGCTCTGCCCTTGAGGGACGAGGCCCAGCTTGGGCCTTTCATGCAAGAGCAGTGCTTATGCTTCCATTTGTGCTTAACCGCCTGACGACAGCAGTAAGTGCCACCCCAAATCTGGGCTCCAGGGACATGAACTCGGTGAACTGGAATGCTGAACTTCATGCAGCTCCAAAGCATCTCAGCCACCTGCATGGTAGCAGAAGGCGGTGCAGACAAGCTCACAGCATCAGAGCTGTCTGCTGGTGTACTAGAGCCAGTCAGAGCAGCAAGAGCACGCTCCCACCCTTGTGGCTATTTAACATTTAGCACCACACAACTTTGTTACAGAGCCCTTCTGTTTGCTTTCATAGAGCTGAGAGGGTCTTTTGGGGCAGAAGCTTCAACTGTCAACCCTGTAGGCAGTGTGTTTCGCCTCTCCGTGCCGGGTGTAACGCCTGAGCAGCAGCACATCGCAGGCGAGCTGCTCCTGCACCTCACCGGGAGCAGCAGCTCGTCCGCCGGCTGTCTGGTCGGGTGTGGGAATGCTGCAGGAGCCGAGCAAACAGGCAGCCACACTGCTAAAGGATGGCGGTTTGAAGTCACTGGAATAGCTGACATTTCACTACATGAGCCAACTGGCTTCTGCAACCACGACAATGGGTAATGTTAAAGCTACTTCATCTTTGGGGAGAGCCAACTCTGCAGTGACCCCAGCGTCAGCAGCACTCCCTGCTCAAGGAAGGGAGATGGACATTTCTAAAAGGTGATTACTTACATTATACCAGACACCTGCTTTATGTACAGGTTCAGTTGGAGCTTGATGGAGCAATTCATGGGGATGCCTGTCATCTGCATAAGAAGAGACCAACCAGTTCACCAGTAAAGCCAACATTTGTCTGGAGAGCTTTGCAGAAGAGCAACCCTCTGCTTTCCATCATAGCTGCACTGGGTGCTGCCTTCCAGAGCAATGGATTGGATCATCCAGAGATCCACCTCAATCACCACACACAAGAACAGGAGCATGGCTGGGGTTTCCACCAAAGCACAAGCATCAGTCAACCAGGCACCAGTTCCCAGGCTCTGGGGATGACTGCTCGTGGAAGGACAGCACTGTCCCCATGGCAGTCTGCAGTCTGTCCCCTTCATTTGAACGCTCACCAGCCAGTGAGACTGTTGCACACAGCAGTGTCCAGGAGGAAGCACCTCCTGAGGGCACAAAGCTAACCTGAACAGAGGTGGCTGCTGCAGAAGGCAGCACGCATTCAGTGAGCAGGCAGCACGACCCAGGGAGGTGTTGTGTGACCCAGGGCTCATGGGACTGAATATAAGCAAGTTCAAATTACCAAGTAACATATGCAATCTGTAAGAGACTCCTTAGGCAGGGTGTTTTAGTAGCAGCTTCAGTGTTTTTTGAAACCTGAAAAGCCTCTTCTGTTGTTCATCCTACCAGCAGCAGGATGGAAATGCATCAATGCAAAAGATACATATGCACAGCAAAGGACAAAACATTTCTCATAAGTAAGAACCAACAGATATCACTGTCCAGCAACACCTTAAGGCCATGAAAACACCACACTTCAAAGCGGGTCTTGTTGACACCCATTAAGGCATTGGTTTCTGATGACACTGCAGTTTTGCAACACATTTTTAAGGGCAGAAAGTTTTTATTGGATTGCCCCTGTCTGTACTCATCAGGCTGCAGCTAGATAAGAATATAGTTAATTTTACTGTTATCAGTAGATGTTTGATACTATAATAAACTTAATTAGATTTCCATAGCTGTGATAAGCAGGAAGAACTCAATGCCTAGATAAGAAGCACAGCTTACCTTACCTCAAGAGAGGGGATTGGTTTCTTGCTTGAGCAAACATCACTGAACATTTGGAAGATCCGACCATGTGCAACACAGGCCGTGGGTGGAAGATCCCAAAGTCCCCTCCCTGTCTGCAGCTGGGACAATGATGGCTCAGGACATCCCAACTCATCACCACTAGAATGGTGGCTTCATCCTTATGCTATAGATATGCAAGAAGTGTAACACAGCAGCAGTCCAGTGCAAAAGCAGCCAGTTAAATGGTCAGGTTGAGAGACTGGAAGAAGCCAGCCCCAAAATTGCAGCGACAGCTTCAACTGCAACATGGTCTTCAGACTTTGCCAGTCAGCTCTCACGACAATACGTGTTTGCAGATTTGGGGCGTAACTGGGCTGCTGCTAGATACACCTCCTGGTGTTGCAGACCTGAGTCAGTAAAAAGAACTCAACTGTACTTATTGAAACAATTATGCTTATAATTAATTCTGCAGTTCTCTAGAAGACAGGTAAATTATTCAATTAGTTTATGGCTTTGACATTTTTATCTGCACATGTCCTCGCCAGTCTTTGCACTATGGAACCTGCTCAAACTCAGTGCCACGAGAGCAGAGCAAGGCTATCACGCAGCCGGTGGTGGGTCCTCCAGATCAGCCCAGACCTTGACAGGCTCCCTCCCTCCCTCACTCACCGGGTGCACATCAAGGAAAAGCGCGTGCTGGTCCTTGCTGGGGTGGAGGCCTTCGACAGCACTCACCAGGGCTGGGTCAGCATTGTAGAAGTGGGGATGGGAAATGAATATCGGTGCATCTGGATGAGAACAAAGACACCTTAAGCTCATCCAAAACCCACCTGAGACTTTTTGTTGAGGTTTTTAAGCTGTTGCAGCACTTGTTCTGAACAGGCTTTTATACTCTTCTCCTCCCAACCAGAAAGCTCTGTCCCTCCCTGCAGCTTATTCCATTGCTCTGGCAGGGTTAAGACCCAGCATTTAAGCCAATTCATGCACCACACAATGCCATGGTAATTTGCTGTGCCCAGACATGGGGTTAGGACACTAAAGCTAAATTCTCACTCCTGTGTGACCTGCATCCAAAGTTAAAATTTCATTTGACAGTTACATGGCCTGCCTCTTCCTACCCTTGCTCCCCTGCCTGCTCCCTCCCCAGCCCAGGGGACATAACACTTGCACTGTATCCTTGGGGCGCTCCCACAAGTGCCAGGCTGTTGTAGGGCCATGGACCAAGAGGACTTTGGGCACAAGGATTTTCTCTCTTTCCCTCCTTGCTGAGATGCCTGCGGGAATGCAAGCGAGAACGCCATGCACACAGACCCCTGTGGTACCTTTTAGCACTCCAGCAGATAGCAGAGCCAATTTTCCAGACAGCCAAGCCAGTATCACATCCCCAGTTTAATATTGGTAGGGCAGGGAGAGTCCGGGGAGGAAAGGACTTACTTAGCCTACAGGTACTGACGTTCTGGATGCCGGACTGCATGCAGGGGCAGAAGCCTTCGTTGGGTGGATAGTCCGTGCCATTGGCAAAGAGAGTTTTCGGTGCCACAAAGCGATAGGTGGGCACACCCTTGAACTTCCCAGACTGCTCGTACACCAGTGTCATGGATCTGGAAGGGTTTCAGTGGAAAAGGATCAGGATGAGTCAAGAGGTTCCCAGCCCAGAACCAGGCCCTTATCTTTGCTGGATAAGATGTGGCTGCAACGTAACTTAGACTTTGAGATCAAGATAAACACTCCAAGCAGTGCTTTGGATGGGGAATGAGTATTTAAGCCATTTGCTTTCCATATTTTAGGCACAGATAAAGGGTTGGTCAGGACTAGTTATGGAGAGAAACCACAGACTTATAAATCTGTTTGCAGTATCCAGATGAGATTTGTTTAAAGGCATGTAGTAATCCCCAGGGCTGCTCTCCAAGAGATAATACCCTCTTTGTGCAAACCTTGGCTCTGAGGTGCTCTATCACAGGGGATGGACACTGGCTAAATCTCTTTTGCAGCACAACTCCAGCCTATAGGCTGTCAGAGGGATGGAAAAATTTTACCACATTATGCAGCAAGATTTCTTCTTGATACAACAGGCTAGTGATGTTATGTTGCATTATTGCTACCAGGTGGCCAGGACAGATGCAAGTTTTCATGAGGGAAGTTTGCTCCCTTCACATGTGAGTGAGGCTTGCCAGGATGCACACAAAGGGGATGCTTATTCCCACAGCTGCTTTCTGACACCAGGCCCAAGGATGGGGGATTTGGGGCATGTTCAGCAGTTACATGCATGCCTCTTAGCTGTGCTCACCTTCCAGTAAGGAGGCAGAGGCTGCTGCCACACATCAGCAGGATAAAACATTTCCTACCTTACAGGGACATCCAGGTAGCTGCATCTCAGCATCAGCTGCCCTTAATGGGCAAACAGCATAGTAGAGGAGTCCTGCATGCCCTGCAGCAAGGTGGGTATGCTCCTAGTCTATCAACTGGTGTTTGTGACTCTTTCCTAGCCAGCTGGCTAGCAGAGAGGCTGAGACAAGAGATCTGGGGAGGAGACAGCACTGCCCGGTGAAGAGGCTGAGCCCCTTCTCCTACAGCACTGTCCAGTGGGAACATCATCTGCTAACATGAAACCAAGCTTGGTTTCCTCCACTTCACTTTATGCCTTGCCTGGAAACACACTCTGTTTCCTAGAAGATTTCTGTAGCTTTATAGAAACAGGTACGTGTATTTAAACTTTGATTACTGGCAAACTCTAAGTTCTTGGCTCCCAGTCATTTTGTTATTTGCATGTCCCTTGTGTAGAGAAATTCCTGCACTAATACTTGGCTCAGCTGACTTTGCTTGTTCACTGAAGAGGTCATTGTTCTCTATTCAGCATTTGCTTGTTTTGCAGCACTATCTACAAAGCCTGAATCAACATTATCTCCCCCAAGCTGGAGACAGTTTTGTGCCATGCCTGCTTCCTGGCCTCCCCTCCTTCCAGCCTTGGGGAGTTTCCACACAGGCAGGCTCTGCAGGGTACTTTAACTCTTGTGTGATCAGCTAAGGTCGGGGTGTCTTATACAGCACAGACATGCACAGCAGTGCATGAACTAGGCACAAAAAAAATGAAGCGGCAGCCTAGGAATGGTGGCACAAGCCCGCACACCCTCTCCCCCCGCGACATAACTTCTGCAAGCATTTAGTCAGCTGAAATCATTCTGCAAATAGTTATAGCTGCATTTCCTTATAACAACTCTTACTTCTCCCTCTTGCCTCCCACATCTTATCTAGACTGTTATTTTTCTACTGATTCAACAAGGGCAAGTTAGACTTCTCCAGTGATCTGGCAGGTATTTATGAATACCACAAGACACTGGCAATTAGACAACTACACTGTTTGCAAAGCTCAGATACTGCAGCACTGAACTGCAGCTGAATTTTAACTACAGAAACGACACCTAAGGTACTCGGTGTGCACAGGACAAGTGTTGCATCTCCCGCCACCTGCACAAGGACAAGCTGGAAGCTGTAGCCTCACCTGCAGGCATCAGGGCTGTAGAACTCCAGCGATGTCGGGGACATGAACGGTGGCCACATCTCCCCCGTGGTCCCATTGATCATGTTGCACTGGCTGCTCCGCCAGTAGTTCACCTGCGGGCCAGATGTTGAGAGAAGAGCTCAGAGCGACGAGCTTGCTGGAGAGTTGGCTTCCACCCCTGCATGGGACATCCGCCACCCTACACTGCTTCCATAGCAGCTTGAGAGAGCAACACTGAAGAGCTTCCAAAGATCTTTCCCATTCAAACATCTGCCCAATTAATGGAAAAACAAGACAAGATCCACCTGTCTCAAGTGCTCCTGCAGTGGTTGATCTGTAGATTCAGTTGATTTTAGTTAGGAGCAGAATTCCACAAGGGAAAAATAAGCACCCCTTTAAACAAGGGTATTTAAAGTAACGCCTTAAACATAGGCCACAGGAGCCTGGGACTTCAACCGTTAGAAGCAACCAGCCCCAACAGCATTTCAAGAAAGTCCAAATGACATCAATGATGAGCTGACTCAATGCTCCATGACGAGCCTCTCATCATATGGCTGCCTTCTGGCAATTTGCTAGAACAGAAGTTGCAGCAGTCGAAGTCCTGTAGAAGTCCTGCCTTCAAGCCTATGACCCAGAGATAGAACAACACTGAGAGCTTTCAGTTTATCTTTAGACCAGCCATTGCCCCCGTATTGGAGGTTTGCTACCTGACATTTACCTTCTTTAGTCCATTCCATGAATCCACCATGTGAACTCTACTGATGTTCTTCATGCCTGTGTTCACTGTGAACAGTCCTGAATTGGAGTTGTTAAGCTGCAGAGAGAAGAAATTAGCTATTAATTCATTATAGGCACTGAGACTGCAATATATTAATGACTTTGCATGCTTCATCAACTCTAGGGGTGCTTCACACTGGAAGGTACTGAACTTTTACTTATTTCAGTTGCCAGTGACAGCTTCCAGCACATGCATTTCTGCCTGAGGGGAAAATTAAAGGCAGCCTTACACAACCACCACCAGCTACACATGGCTGCCCCAAACAGTTTGTGAGGGGGATAGCCCAGACACTTAATCCCAAGGCCAATATTGCTGTGATATTAGTGTTCCCAAGCAACAGTTTACTTACCTCTACAAATAAGCCAAATTTCCCCTTGAAAGGAATCAGGCCAGGAACAATCATATTTATTGTATCTATAAGAGGGTCTTCATACCCCCACATGATCTCCCCCACTGTTCGGTTCACGAACGCCTCCTGTTTCAGGCCAGCCAGAGCTCCACTCAGTAAAAGCTTCACAAAGCTTGGCAGGTTTTCCATCATTACAGCCGCTCCCTGGGAAAGAAAACAAACCTCTGAGATGAGAGCCCAATCTTTACTAAAGCAGCAGCAATTCATCTTTGGTGCCCAGCAAGGTCCCCCTGCTGCACTGCTCTACAGCCCTGGAGAAATCCTTTGGATAAACTGAGGCTCACCATATATCCTCAGTTTGGGAAGAAAGCTCACAGGTTTCATTTCCCCTGAGGATGCTCTGACAAGGCTGCAGACTCGAGTTCAGCTGCTTTGCCAGCCCTTCTGCATACTCTGCTTCTGGAAGGGTAACAGCCCAACATGACAACCAACACCCAGAAAATTGTATTTTGTAAGCTTAACCCACCTGATGGCTTGATTAGCCTTAAGCTCTACAAGAATGCAATCTTTGAGTGAGCACTGGGCATCATTGCCCTCCCCACAAGCTCAGAAGCTGGTACCCATCCATGGAGCGAGTTCTTACCATCATCAAAATGTTTGGCACAATGATGTACTCATCTTCACTGCCGTTGGACAAATCTGGCTGGAAGAAGAGTTGCCGGTACTCCAGGAAGGAGACTGTGTCATTGTCATGGAACGTAATATTTGTTTTATACCTGAACTCTCTGCAAAGAGATAGGAGAGATCATGGGAACCTTCCCCCCATGCAGTGCCCCCGCAACGCCCGTGGAGCAGGGATGGGCCACACAGGCCTGGCCTTGCTTCTGAAGAACAGAGGAAGGAGACCAAATCCCAGCAAGAAGCCATGGGAGAGCAGAGGAGGCACAGGAGGTGTCAACCTCGCACCCCAACCAGGAGTAGTGTCTGGCAGGAGGGGACGGCAGCCTGAGAGTGAGGCATCCCTGACAGATTGGATTCTGCAGCAACCGGCAGACACCAGGTGGTTCTTCCCAGCTGAGAAAAAGGGCCTGCAATGCTCCACAGTAGCACAAGGTTATCCCCAACATCACAAGCCTGTTACAGCTCCCGAGAGAGCTGTAGCTCAACTCACCAGCAAAAACAAAGTCCTTTATTGTGGAGCCTCTGTTTTATGTCCCACATTAGGCAAGGGCACTAATCTTGCTCAGCAGGAACACAAGGACGCTATTAAGCTTTGCTCCTTTGTTTATTCTTATTTACGGTAAGTGAAGCCTCTTCCCCAAGCCAAGTGACTGATGCGATCACAACATACAGAATCCCCGTGGTCTCATGGCGTGACCTGCCTAGCAGAGGGGAAACAAGGGCATATACATACTGCCAGGTTTCCCCACAATGCTACTCAAATAGCTTTGGATTAAACCAGTAATCTGCCCACATGAGCTTGCTTAGGCTACTGACCTGACTTTCCCTATATGTGTAGGCACTAATGTGTTTAGTATCACTGTTGACAGATAAGTTCACATGCTCAACTCTACATCAACCGTCATTTCACATTTTGGGTCCAGAGAAGCATCTGGGGCTTCAACTACCATCCTCAGACATGTCGAATAGACCCAGCCCTGCCTGGGTGGGCCTGGCCAAGCTTTAGTGCTCCATACTGGTTCTCATGACCAGAGCATTCACGTTAGGCAGATTCTGGGTCTCACGTTAGACAAGAGGTCTTAGGCCAAACCGTGAAGTTTGACACTGAGGTAGCTCCAGCTCTGGAGCCGGATTCTTAAATGCACAGTGAAGATGAAATAAGTCTACTCTGAAGATGAGGGTCGCCCACCACCACACCAACACCCCTCATGACTATGCTTGGACCATATCAACCCAGGCCTGGCTGCCCAACAGGTCCCAGCACGGGACTGAGCTCCACAACTCAGTGAAGCACAGACCAGCCTTACCACGCCAGTGGCCAGAGGTCCTGCTTGTGGCTTTAGCAAGATAAGAGCAATTAGAGCACATTTGGGTCACTTTAAAATCCTGTGCCGCTGGACTTGCGCCAAGTCTGCTAATGCCATGCCCTCCTGTCAGAGGAGTCAGACAGGAGCCTGGCAGGCAGCATGGTGGCCAGGTTCACATCTAGCTGGGCCACAGGTGGTAGCTGACCTGTAAACGTAGGGTCCACGCTGGGTCAGCACCGGCTTCGCTCCCTGGAGGACCTCCTTGGGGTTCAGCACTTCAAAGAAGTGCACTGACATATAGAAAGGAACGGGAATGTCCTTCCACATGCCGAAGGAGATGCTGTTGGGGTCGATCCTGACGTTCTGCAAGAAAACGAAACAAAACAAAGAGTAAGGAGAGACACAACTCTTGGGCTCAATGAGCATATCCACCCTTTGCTCCACATCAGGCCCAGCCGAAGGTGGCAGTTCCAGCAAGGGCTCTCCAAAGGATCCAAGCGTGTTATGCAGACCAAAACCAAGCCAGATCTAAACTGGGAACTCATATATGCAGAAGCATCAAGTTCATGCCACAGGATGTCTGTAGGCTTATTTATTCAGGCGCAGCTTTCCAGATCCTACCCACAGGATTTTGGAGCTGCTTTGATGTGATGGAAGCTCGCTCTGCGCTAGACAAGCCAGCACTGAATTATTCACAGCTCTGCATGTTTGACTTGCCTGGCAAAAACAACCCTGTCCCACAGGCCTCCACTCGCCTGCCAGGTTTGGCAGCTCCACGCAGCCAGAAGCAGGCAAGGGCTGGGAGAGGTGGCACATCCACCCGCACAACTGCTTGGGTGCCAGCAGGGAGGGCCCATTAGATTCCCAAAAAGCAGACAGAGAACTGGGATGGCGACCCAGCTGTATCCCAACAGTGCCGTGCAGGACACCTTTGCGTCCTCTCAGCTGCCATCCTGCAGTGACTCATAGTTGGTCATAAGGCAGGTCAAAGGCAAGGCACAATCATGGTTTCCATATCACTGTCCTGTTTGCTGGGAAGTGCCTGAAGGAGCCCAAACATCACTTAAGCCCTCACCAGCTGGCCAGCCCAGGAGCTGGCATCTGGGCACATCTGTCTCTACTCCCTCCCTGCCTCCCGGGGGCTGCCTGATGGACAAGAGCCTGTTCCTTCTTGAGCATTTATTTTGGGTGTGTTCCACCATAATCTTTGCTCCCTTTGCAAGCACAAGCCCTTGCCATGGTTAAGTAACCCAGGCATTTTATGGAAGTGGGTTTAATCCACTAATTGGTGAAGGCACGTGGGCATTACCCTGCTGCAGCTTGGCAGCCCCACAACAGCTCTCCTGCCTTGGAGCAGTTCAATCTGACTGTGCACATATTTGCTGCCACAGGGGTTGAGAAGGAAAGCTGCCGGAGGCTTCCCCACAATGCCCCATTTTTAGTCATTTCATGGTGAGGCTGTGTTACCCACAAGCAGCAGGGTTTTGCACACCCTTCACTCAAGCCCAGACCCTCCAAGCCCTGCCCCTGAGTAGATATCTCCATGGTGCAGTGTAACCCACCCAGCAAACCCTTCCCACCTCCACATCAATGTCCACGTGCTGCTGGCTGAAAGCCTCCATCCTGCCAGCCTCCAGGATTCCATGGCAAAGAAGCAGCAATAGGACACATTTTTATGTAGCCTGCTTTATAATCCTTACTCCCAAGTGTCCAATAGGGTATGAACAGCAACATCTGCTTTCCTTTACTTGCTTATCTGTCTTGCACTCCCTGGATCCCTCATTGCATATGCATTTATTTATATAATATGTACACAGTCAGGTGGAGCTGCATCCCAGCTCTCTGCTATTCTCAGCCCTCTCCCATGTGGGCACAGCAGCTCTAGCTACTCCACAGATGCTGCTAAGCAAGATCTACTTAACAGGGTAGCCTTAGAATTAAGCTCCTTGTATGTTAAACCAGACACGGTCGTATGTCTGAAGTAAAAATAGAATATTTTTCACTGATATGTTTGACTCCTCCTGACCAGGCTGACGTCTGTTCCTGAGGAATTGAAAAGAACTAGCTACTGCCTGTGTCCTCCAGACAGGACCAGAAGAGCAGCAGCTCCATCAACAGTGCCCAAATCCTGCTGCTCTGGCAGGGAGGCTTCAGCCACTCTGCTCAGTAAAACCAAGAGCTGAGGTTTCCTCTTCAGATTGAGAGAAGCAGTCAAGCTATGTGCAAGCGCAGACCAGACCTCATCCTCCACATCCTCCCACCACCATCCTCATCGCCCTGATGAAACAGCAAAGGCAGTGCTGTCAGTCTTCTCCCAGCTTTCAGGCAAGACAGCACAAGAGTTTCCAGGTGGAGAAGAAATGTTGAATGACAGATGAGTTGATGTAGTCTCACTGTGTTAAAGATCTTATCTTAGGCGGGTCCCCAGCACTCCACAAAAGCAAGGTTCCCAGGTTTTTCAGGGCCATTGCTGCAGGCAACCCAGCTCCCAATGCAGATTCAGTTTCTGCAAACACAGCAAGAACTGGGCTCCAAGTTCCCTGTTTCTACTGTGCGTTTCCCTACACTTTATTCAAAGATATCCCCGAAACTACAACCCTTTTTGCAGCTAAGTGCTTCTCCATCAGGATACACCAGCTTGACCTTCCATGCAGATCAGGGAAGCTGGCACGGGCAAGCCAGCCTTCACCCACCCAACACCTGCCACCATTTTGGGTTATGATGCAGATATGGAGACAAAGGGCTTGAGATGAAGGGAGGAGACAAGGGTTGGTCTTTTCCTCATCTTCTGTTCTCATTGTAAATTACTAGGATTTAGCTAATCAAGTAGAAAGAATTGGGATTAGCTAAAAAGAGGGCAGAAAGGTTTTTGCACCAAAAAACATCACGCCTGTTCTGCAAGGGCCATTCAGCCTTTTATTTGCAGGTACCAGCTCCTGACATCCATGAAACTGGACAGAGTGACTTTTACTGCTTAAGCCACAGGACTGTCTGACTTCTACGTTTAAGTAGAAGTTGGTTTCCAGATGAGATTTTGTGTCACACGTAACCACAGCCATTGTCTATGGGGTGTTTATTCACCTCTTTCATCAGAAGAACATTTCCAGATGCTGAGCCGGGTAGGTGTGAGCTTGGAGAAATGCCCGGGCAGGGGGCACACCTCCTTTGGGCTGAGAGAAAAAGGTTTGGCTAAATGTGGGAATGAGCCAATTGGTTCATTACAGCAGGATAACTGGTGTCCCGACAGCAAGGACGGGAGCACTGATTCCCACTATTGTGCATCACTTACTGAACAGACTAATAACTCCATCCATGGCCCCACATTTTAACCGTGGGGGACAAACATCTCTTTGGCCTCAGGACCTCTCTTGTGGATAAGACAGGTCTTCAGAGAAGCAACTCTTTAAGTTTTTGGTCTAGGAGGAGATGGTGACTTGGGGGCTGCTCCATGCACAAGGCTCCTTCAGAGGACTCCTGCACATCATCTGTCCCATTTCCAGTTTGGAAAGCATCTCACCACAGTGTATCTGAGCCTGGTAGTCTGCACACCTATTTATGAAAGGAGCAGCTAGCACTGCAGGTAAAGGCAGTAGGGACAGGAGGAAGGGCTGGTGCTCGGGGCAATGCACCAGCACCGTCCCCCCAGAAAACCTCCAGCTGCACGACAAGCCCTGGCTGAGCGGGGGGTGAGAGCCCCTTCAGCCCAGGCACGTTTGCTGTAACCAAGGGTGGAATACCTTCAAGCTCGGATTTTCCTGCACCGAGATTCTGAGGCTGCTCAGGGCTGCAGCAGTGACGCTGGAGCAGAGGCGCTCCGGGGCTCAGCTGTGCCAGGGAAGCATGCCCGTGCACCAGTCCTGCCCGCACCCCGGCTCCAGCACCCCCCACCCCCAGCTGTGCACCACCATCACCCCTGCACCTTGCACCGACCCCCTGGCTGCACACCAGCCCCACACCAAGCCCCCAGCCACGCACCGGCTCCAGCCTTCCCAGCCCCCACGTACCAAACGGGAACCCTCCGCCACGGACACGCACCCCCCTACCCCCGCCTCCCGGTCCCCGCTGACCTTGACGACTTGCTCCTTGACGATGAGGGGCCCCACCAGCAGCAGGCAGACCCCCAGGAGGGCGCAGACCGCCCCGGCCAGCCCCAACCCCACCGACACCCTTCGCCGGGCCGCAGACATGGCGCGGCACAGCAGCGGGGAGCCCGCCCGCCCCCAACGCCGCCGCTTTATGCCGCCGCGGCCCGGCCCGGTGCGGCGGAGGGAGCGGGGCGGGGCGCGGGGCGGGGGCGGGGCCAACCGCCGCCGAGCCCCGCCCACTCGCTCAGCGCGCCCCGGGCGTGGAGCGGCGGAGCGGGTAAACCTGTGGGAAGCGGAGCCCTGTATGTATGTATAACCATAAAACCATCTAGTAACATAAAAATTTATTTAATGTGTATATATATAACCATAATAACACATCGCCATATAAAAATATATTTAAATGTATCAAACATATAAATAGATAAACGTATAAATATATACATATTACATATGTGTGCGTATATATACATATATACGCACACATATATGGCCCAGGCCACCCCCGGGAGGCACCGGGTCCCTCCGTGGCCACTGCATCGGCAGGCAGGTGGCTGCGGGCTTGCTGTCACAGCAGTTATTCGGTGGTTTTGGGAAAGGGGGCACGCGCAGGAGGCTGGAAGGGGCTTCTCAGGCGGGCAGCCATCGGTCAGGGACATGGGGTCCGGCCCCAGGAGGAGAAAACATCCATCACCTCTGTCTAACCCACCTCTGTTTTTCTAAGGAGTTGGGGGTTTTGTCTATCCTGTGCATCTAAAGTGGTTCTGAAGAAAAGCGTGCTTGAGACTCATCCCTAGAAGTGTCTGGAAGTCAGCAGCAAATTAAAAATGAAGAGTTGGGTTTGACAGCCTATTTTAAAACAATTATACCCATTGCCCAAACTCCAAGTCGATCTGAGATAAAGGGTCTAGAAACTAGAGAGCCCCTACCCGCAAACCGCTGTTCTCTGTGACGTGGGGCGTGGGCGTCGTGGGGAGACACAAGCCCACGGCTCCCCCAGAGCAGAGCCCAGCACAGCAGAGGACCCGACTCTCGCCATGGCCCTCACCTCGGCGGAACACCTGCGTTTATATCTTTGCACTTAATTGTGTTTTTTTGTCTTCTAGGCTTTTTACCTTGCTAGCTGCCTCCGTTTAGTTGCCAGACCAATTAACATGCCTCTTTAATACCGGCTGGGTCTCCGGAGGGGGGGCAGCTGCTGGTCATACCCTGTTTCCCCAGCAGCACAAAGCGGGTGCTGTCTTCCTTTACTTTAAATTGTATTGCTAGAAAGAAATCCTGGGAAAGGAGTTTTCCTTCAAAAACCAATAAACACGCGTAACACCCAAGAGATACCCTGAGGCACCGCGGGACAGTACAAACCTGGTGAAGTTGTCTGAAGCCAGAAGGCAGGTACTTCCACGGTTAGAACAAGAAACATCCTTAATGTTTACAAAATGCTTTGCTGTTTTCATCAAACTGAATGTTGCCGTTCTGTGGTTTATCCTACCCGAGCTCCACGGGGCTCTGAAGTGTTTTACTGCCATGGTTTACAACCCCTTGAAGTTTGCCAAACCCAGCGAAGTGCCCTGCAGAGATCAGCGCTTTGACTGGGTTTACAGGACAAGGGTGCGAGCAGGCAAGCCCTGCTTCACCCAGCGGCTGCCCGCCCGCTTGGGTCACACGCCAGCCCGTTACGTATTTATAAAGCTTTATAGTTTTTACGTACGTTATTGTAGTTGTTTTTGGTTTTTCTTTTTTTTTTTCACCAAGGCATTTTAAAAATAGTAATTTCTTAAAACACAGCATTGCAGTCATTTATGTAAGCTTTTGACATTCATTCCTCGAGGGTCCCCATGGCCCCCTTCAAATGCCTTTTTTTTTTTTTTTTTAAACACCACACTTCCAAGGAAAAGCTTCCCAGGCATGTAGAGAAAGGAGTTATTAAAAGATAACCAGACTGCAGCTTCTTCAAGAGCAGCTCCCTTCGATCCAGAAACACCCACCTCTGAAGGGGGTCAGACACCCACATTTAAGGGCTGAGCACAGGCCCTGAACTGCTGCAGGGCTTCGTTTTTCACTGCTGCAAATTCAGACCTTTGAAGAGGCCGGAGCTCAGCCACAGCACACCGCCAGCTCTTACCCATGGTGAGCTCCAGCTCAGTGGCATTCAAAAGCTTCCTCCAGTTCAGCACAGATCTTGATCCAGACTTGTTCCTTTACAAGCCACAAAGTACTAAAAGCATATTCCACCACTCTGCAATTAGTAATAATTAACAACCAATGTTACTTGAGTCAAACCCTGCTACCCCTCCCTTCCAGTCCAGGCACTGCAGGATCACTTCAGGTTCCACTGAGGTCAGTGAGCAGCTGAAATCACTGTTCCAGCTCCCACAAGCCCTCCCAAATGAGAGTTGCATTTTCACTTCTGTAAAAGGCATTTTTAGGTTTTTACTCTTCAGCCTCCCCCTTTCCCTTCTCCATCCCCATTGCAGCATGGTTTACTGCTCAGGAGCTCCTACATTCAGCACCCTCCACCTCATCAGAAAAATACTTCAGCAGAGACTTTTTTGGCACTGCTTTCATAGCATGTGAGAACTCCTCTGTAACATTTTACCTCATGAACACTCTATTTCCAGTTAAGGCACACCTGGAATGAAAGGACATCCCAGAAAATTTTCAAAAAGCTAGTACCTCTGAAATTAGTTTGCTTAATATGCTTAAGCCTCTCAAAAAATGATGTCTACCCTGTAACTGGATGATGAGACTCACACAAGCCAGGACACTTTCCAAACCCTGACCAAGACCCGCAGCACCAGCCGGGACCCATCAGAGCAGGAGGCTGGCCTGCCACAGAACCCCAGCTCACCCTTCCCCAGCTGCCCCCTCAGTGTTGAAACACAAGGCAGGACCTGGCCATCACCCAGTAATGCAGCATTATCCAAACCTCCCAGCACAAAAACAATTGCCGTGTCACATTACAAAGGCACACTTACACAACCCCAACAGCTGCGAAACATCTGCAGACTGGCACTGAACTTCAGCCAGCACTTCAGAGTTACGAGGCTGCTTACACCACCTCAGGAAAACCGCAGCCAAAGGATTAGTCATGCTTGCCAGGCATGCGTATGGCTTGCATAAGGCAGTTTTGCAATACCTTTGTCTGTAGCAGCTATGTAATTATAGCTTATTAGATATCTAGATTTGGCTAATGGCATAAACAGTTGTTCATGTAACTTGAGACACAAACTTTTGTGGATGCAACAGCTTTATTGGAATGAACAAGTGCAGAGAAACTTTTAATTGGAGGCAAGAAACAACCAGCCAGTTCAGTTACCACCCCTCAGGCGCAGCACAAGGTGCAGGGTAGATTCCTTCTGAATGTTATAGTCGGAGAGGGTGCGACCATCTTCCAGCTGCTTGCCAGCAAAGATCAGCCTCTGCTGATCAGGGGGAATGCCTTCCTTGTCCTGGATCTTGGCCTTCACGTTCTCAATGGTGTCGCTGGGCTCAACCTCAAGGGTGATGGTCTTGCCTGTCAGGGTCTTCACGAAGATCTGCATGCCACCTCTCAGACGCAGCACCAGATGCAGTGTGGATTCCTTCTGGATGTTGTAGTCAGAGAGGGTGCGACCATCTTCCAGCTGCTTGCCAGCAAAGATCAGCCTCTGCTGATCGGGGGGAATGCCTTCTTTGTCCTGGATCTTGGCCTTCACGTTCTCAATGGTGTCGCTGGGCTCAACCTCAAGGGTGATGGTCTTGCCTGTCAGGGTCTTCACAAAGATCTGCATGCCACCTCTCAGACGCAGCACCAGATGCAGTGTGGATTCCTTCTGGATGTTGTAGTCAGAGAGGGTGCGACCATCTTCCAGCTGCTTGCCAGCAAAGATCAGCCTCTGCTGATCGGGGGGAATGCCTTCCTTGTCCTGGATCTTGGCCTTCACGTTCTCAATGGTGTCGCTGGGCTCAACCTCAAGGGTGATGGTCTTGCCTGTCAGGGTCTTCACAAAGATCTGCATGCCACCTCTCAGACGCAGCACCAGATGCAGTGTGGATTCCTTCTGGATGTTGTAGTCAGAGAGGGTGCGACCATCTTCCAGCTGCTTGCCAGCAAAGATCAGCCTCTGCTGATCGGGGGGAATGCCTTCCTTGTCCTGGATCTTGGCCTTCACGTTCTCAATGGTGTCGCTGGGCTCAACCTCAAGGGTGATGGTCTTGCCTGTCAGGGTCTTCACAAAGATCTGCATGCCACCTCTCAGACGCAGCACCAGATGCAGTGTGGATTCCTTCTGGATGTTGTAGTCAGAGAGGGTGCGACCATCTTCCAGCTGCTTGCCAGCAAAGATCAGCCTCTGCTGATCAGGGGGAATGCCTTCCTTGTCCTGGATCTTGGCCTTCACGTTCTCAATGGTGTCGCTGGGCTCAACCTCAAGGGTGATGGTCTTCCCTGTCAGGGTCTTCACGAAGATCTGCATTTTTCTCTGGAAACAGACAGATCGCCGCAGTCACCTTCCCCTTCCCTCCCATAGGAAGGAGCCCAGCTCCACCGACACCGGTGGGGCTGAGCTCCACGGGCGCGGCCCCTCCCGCCTCCATGCCCTGTGACGCCACAAGGGCAGACCCGCCCACACCCCCGAAGGGGCGGGGCCATCCGCCCCCTTCCCGCCCAAGGCGCGCGCGCCCGCCACCATCTTGAGTAGCCTCTGCGCCTGCGCGGCCGCCATTTTACCAGTGGCTCTCGTACTATCCTTCCCCGCACCCCCCTCCCCGCCTATCTCCGCGGCTACCCGAGTGCTACCGATGTGCTCCAGCTGTTACCGCTGAAGGAGAAGGGAACCTCCCGGCCCGCGGCCCGCGCCCCCTCAGAACACAACCATCTCCCGCCCGGCCACCCATCCCGCAACTAAGCCAGGCCGCCGCGGTAAGAGGCTCTCCTCGCCGCTCTCCCCCGGGGGTAGGGAAAGGCCGAGCCGCGGAACACTCACCGCAGAGCTCGCAGGCCCAGCCGACCGCACAACACCCGCCGCGACCTACACAGCTACAACTGCGCCACACATTCCCCTCCCCGCCCTTTATATAGCCTCGTCCGCTCCGCCCCCCGCGGCCCGGACCACTCCGCCAGGCACTATTTTTTTCCTGTGGCGCGCGCCACCGCTGCGCCATGCAGCAGGAGGAGGAGCGGGGGCGCGGAGAAGTCAGCGCCTCGCGGAGGAGTGATGGGGCCGCGAGCGCCTCGCGGGCTCGGCGGAAAACCTGGCGCGGCGGAGCGGGGCGCCCTCGGCTGTGGGGACGCCCCCGCGGGTGAAAAGCTGCTTGTCCGAGCCTGCCGTTTCATTCAGGGCTTTACACGCCTATAGTCGTGTCCCTGTTTCAAAAGCATCTCGTTGATTTTCTTGTGAGGGGCAGCTCTGCCCGGGGGCCTTGCTGGGAGGCAGCTTCTGAGGTGCGGGTAGAGAGAGGAACCGTTGTTTTAGTCAGAAGGAAGCCATGCATTTCTATTTAAGAAGTCTGCGATGGGTTTCCACGTGCTAGAGGGAGAGAAGTGAGGGAGTGTGGTGTCCCCCACCCAGGACTGGGGCCAGTGTGAGCAGGCACAAGCCTGCTGGGACTGGCACTGGTGAAGCTCACAGGCGGGTTTGTGCCAGGCCCCTCTGTGCCACCATGGCCTGTGGAGCAAGGGACAGGGAAAATGAGTGTCCAGCCCCAGGGCAGAGACTGCAGCAGTGGGGATGGAGATCGGGCAGCTGGGAGAGGGAAGAGGTGAAGTGAGGGACAAAGATCAGGTGGAAAAAGAGATCCAAGTCCTGCAGGCAAGCTTGAGATCCATCAGTGAGTATATATATATACGCACACATGAAGTGGAGTGTGCATCTGAGGCACAATGGATAACTCAGGACTAAGGCCTTGCCACTGAGTTGAAATAAATCTTAAATAGAAATAGTAAGTTTCTTACTCCGGTCTCACAGAGCACCTTCTGGTAGGTTTCTGATGCACTCAGGTGGCTTCTGTGCAAAACAGCGATTCGAAGGCATAGCTGAGAACAAAATGGGCCTTTGTTTGCAAGATTCATGAGATGCCATTTGGTTCCATCCACCCACAAAATCCTTCGTTTGCCAGCACCCAAGGAAAAACACTGCCTACCAAATGGACACAGATAACACTTGGGGCTGCGCACCAGTCAGAAGGGAGCAGAAGGCCCAGCAACAGCTTTGTGATTGGTTTGAGGGAAATCTGCCTGCATTTGCCTGACACAGGGAGCTTTTACAGGAGGAGAGTATGCTGGGGAGGTTCTTAGCCTCTGCTGCCTTGCATTTGTTTGTATTAAAACTCAGCATTGTAGTAGTAATAATAATTTCAAACGCCAAGGTCGTTTAGCTGGGAAAACAAAATCCACAAAAGCATTTTTGTTCCTTCTCAGGTTACAAATGTGCTCAGTGTCTTGTATCATGTACATTTGGAGTTGTATAAATATAAAAGATTGGGATAGCCTTTCAGATTTAGGTCTTCCCTTCTCTGAAAGTGAATAATAATGCCAAGCTTATTCTTTTAGTTACAGAGTGAGCACTTGGGGCTGGTCTGAAAATAGTCAAAAAGGCACGTGGCAACATATTTTGTGACAAGATGGGAGTTTTGTAACAGGAAGAAATTAAGGTGATACAGTGCTGTTCTTCATCTAATTAGGGTAGGCAGCCAACCACTGAGCATTCTGAGTCAGTTTGTACCTGATGTCTGAATCAAATGGTGGAGCAGCACACCCCTAAAGGTTTCAGATTTATGTTATGTTTGGATTGCAAGGCAGATGTTAAGCCCTAGTGCAATAGAGTCCTTAAATGTGTCTGGCTGGTTTGCAGAACAGTTCTTTCCCAAGCAGGGAGGGGCTTTCTGTGAACAAAGCCCCTCCGTGTTTCTCCTACACTGTCTGTATGAGTGCCACTTGCTGCAATTTCAAGACAAGCTTGGTGAATAGTAGGATGTTGGTCCTAATAGACCGTGACCTATTGTACTGACAAATAGTGATTTTCTGTGCCAACAAGTCTATTACTTTGTGCCTATTGCTACAAACTCAGGCGCAGGAACCATCTCTTTCCTGTGTTCACATGCAGGATACATTCCAGAAGTGCAGCTGCCCAGAGAGATCCTGTCCAGGGAGCTATTTACAGCAGGGATCTTCACACTTACCAGTGCTGTAAACAAATATTTGGCTCAAAATAACAGCTAGAAGTAACTTGAGTAAATAAATAGCACAAGGAACATCTTAGGCACTCTGGCAGAAAATGTCATTTTACATCTGTCGCCTGTCAGCTCTCTCTACCAGAGCTGGATACGCTGTTGATAACAGCTGCTAGCTGAACTGTGTAGATAAAAGCTGTTTCAAGCTCTACGTGGTCTTGGGTCTCTCTGTGTCATACCCTTCAGCTCTCCCAGCTCTGAAGAGTTTCCTGGGCGAGAGAGACCTGTGCGAGCCTGGCCAAGGCGAAGAGATCAAAGCAGGGAGCTTGTTTTCTGAGAGCTGCTCGGGGCGAAGCCTGGTCGAGGGGCTGCCTGCCAGCCTCCGGCTGGAGCAGGACTGCAGAGGCGAGCAGACACTGCTGAGCCGGGGAAAAGCTCCTGCACGGTGGCAGCCAGTGACTGCAGACACTTGTGGGGTCCCGGGTTTTGTGCCTTCCGCTTTGTCTCTGGCTCCGGGAACGTGGTGCGGAGACCCTGAGCCAGCTCCATGCTGACTGCAGGTGAGCACGCAGCCAGCTCTGCTAGGTGCTGGGGTGCAGAGGTGTCAGGCTGGGCTGGTGGGCCAGTGTCCCCCTGCATTTCAGGGTTTGGTGTTTCCTTCCTCCTTGCGGGCTGCTCAGCTTCGGTGATGAAATACCCGCAGAGGCACAAGGGTCTTGTTTTGTTTGCATAGCGTGGCGGCGAAGCTAGTGACCCAAACCAGACATTTAGTGTCACTGGGAAACCGCCACCGTGGGCCTTTTTGGGCGGCACATTCACGGTGCTGTTTTCTGTTTCATGTGACGTGGCAATTTTAACACCGGCACGGGGAAAAAATAAAAAAAAAAAAAATAAATAAAATAGAAAAGGAAGGGCTTTTGTGGAGATGCCGGGGATTGAACCCGGGACCTCATACATGCAAAGCATGCGCTCTACCGCTGAGCTACATCCCCCTGCCCGTGCTGCCCGCCCTGCCCGCCGGCCAGGTCCGTCCCTCCCGGAGCGGCGGGGCCCGCGCTCCCCCCGCGGCCGTGACCGGGGGCGACAGCGTAGGGCAGGGCTCTGCGTGGGCGCGGGCAGCACCCCCACGCACGGAGGGGACGCGGGCAGGCGTGTGCCTCCCCACCCCGGGGCTGCGAGCGGTGAACGGCACTGGATAAAGCTAGGCGTGAACATCAGGCAATTGACAGAAGTACGGGAGCATCTCTGGGTTCTACACGCAAAACTGCAGGGGTTTTAAAAAAAAAAAGAAAAAAAGAAAAAAAAAAAATAACAAACCTCCCCGTCGGGGAATCGAACCCCGGTCTCCCGCGTGACAGGCGGGGATACTCACCACTATACTAACGAGGACAGGTATACTGACACTTTCCCGCGCTGGCTACAGACGAGTAGAACCGCCGGGCAGTGTTGCACGGTGATCGCCCCACGCGAGGAAGCGCTTCCTGTGGCAAACTATCTCCCCACGCGTGAGCGCCCACAGGAACAGCCCCACACACGGAGCGTGCACGGCAGAGCCAGCCCCCCCGCCCCGCCGCAAAAAGACCCACCATCACCGGGGGGGCGAGCAGAAAAGAACGGCTGCCGAAACCCGGGATCGAACCAGGGACCTTTAGATCTTCAGTCTAACGCTCTCCCAACTGAGCTATTTCGGCCGTTAAAAACCGGTTCACTGGCCGATGATACGACCCCGCCCAACGCACTCGTGGGTGCTGCTGGCTCCGGCTTCTTCCCGCCTTCCACATGTGGGTTTCACCCACGCAGCAGCGGCTTTCCGTTCCTGGGGCGCTCAGGGTCTCCCTCCCTTTCCTTCGTACTGCTTTCCAAACCCCCGCAAGGAGGGGATGGCAGCCCAACACCCCCCCCCCCCAATACCAGCAGCAGCGGGGTGCTCAGAAAGCACGCTGCGGAGAGCGCCGCCCCCCTAGCCCCCTCACAAAAATCAGCGCTGCTTGCTTTACCCCACCCCACGCACAAACCCCAGCGCGGCGGCCGCCGGCGGAAAACGGCAGCTGGGCGAGCAAAACGTACATCCTCCCCGTCGGGGAATCGAACCCCGGTCTCCCGCGTGACAGGCGGGGATACTCACCACTATACTAACGAGGACGGACACACCACCCTCTTTTCCCGCTTTCCCCTCTGAGGACGCCGCCGCCGCCCGCAGCGCCGGGCCCGCCCCGCGCGGAGCCGCCCGCGCAGCTTCTGTTCTGCTTCCGCGCCTGCTGCCGGCGCCGGGGCGCCGCGCGGGGCGCGCGGGGCGGAGCTGGGCGCTGGCCTGACGCGCGGCTCGCAGCGTGTTTGTAAGAGCTGTGAGAGAGCCGGTGCTGCAGCGAGGGGATGTAGCTCAGTGGTAGAGCGCATGCTTTGCATGTATGAGGCCCCGGGTTCAATCCCCGGCATCTCCACTTTTTTTTCCTCCTAAATCCCGTTGTTTTTGCTCCCTCTTGCACGCTTTCCCAAAGGAGCCGCAATTAGAGTAGCCTTGATATTTCCCTTATTTCTTCTTCCCTCCCATAAGCACACAGCAGTTTGCAAACTTCTGCTGCAACTCGTGCTAAACAAAAGGAGCCCAGCCAAGAGCTCACGGCACCCTCCTGGCTGTGGTTATTGCTAAACACTACAGCATTGCAGCATTTGTTATAAACACACAGCTACACCAGGGTATTTTCCTTCTTACTCGAAAGCAAGAGCTGATGTTTCTTCAGCGTTAGATATTTTTAACACTTGTGGCCTGATCTGGAGCCTAAGCAGTGCATGCAGGCATCCAGACTTTTCCGTGGTTGGGTTGCACCAGTTTCCTCCAGAATGGGGGGACAGGAGGGTCACTGCTCACCCCTCCTCACAGCGTGGTGTTACAAGCAGCAGTAAATCACCACAGCTGAGCAC